TTATGCTTGCAGTAAACTCACTGACCACCACACATGCCGTGCACCTCTAATTAGACTCCCCGCTGTGGCACATCACAAAATCACATCATTTATAAGGAGAACGCTGTGTCTCGCCTCTGCTTGATTCTAGAAGTACTTTTAAGAAATTCGTCTTGCATTGTCCAGCTGAAGTTTGCCACCTGTAAAGCCTGAAAATCAGTCATTTGGTGACTTTGCTGCTTTAATACTTGAAAATATCACTAAACTACTGTGTACAGTTCCTCCTCTTCCTCCTCCTTGTCTTATTAAGGTTTCACTGGGTGGTAAAATCCTTGCAAAATCAATAAAACATGGTGTTGACAACTGCCAACAATCAATTACATAACAGCAGCAGGAGACTTATCAATAGAAGAGGCATGGAAACTGAGATTCAAAGACTAAAGTAGTGCATCAAGAAACAGAGACTCAAAGTGTTCTGAGCTGAAGAAATGAAAAAGCCATTCATGAATTATTATGTGAGTAAATGGTTTGAAACATTCAGAAACATTGATTAATATATATATACATTTTTGTCTAATTTCACTGTAGGACTTTTATTTTGAAGAAAATGTATTTTCTCTTTCTGTGCTTTTGCTGTCCCACATCTGGCCCCTTGACACCACACTGTACCATATCCTTGGAGCACCTTACCATCGATCCAGTGTTGTGTGGAAGCTAGTGCATCCTACGGACATCTGGTTCCTTGAATCAAGAAAGCCCTTTGTCAGAACTCAGCGTAGTGTGAAAGGCGAGCGTGTCATGCAGAACCACGGTGCCACATCTGGCTCCTTTTCTCTAAATAATCTTTCCTGAGCATATCCAGAGTGGCTTGTAGTGCTCTTTCAGCCTGGTCGTCTGTGGTGTCACGGGTGCAGGCATCCCTGGTAAGATTTCACCTGTGCATTCGCTTTTACCACAGCACAGGTCATCAATGAGCTCTCAAGGCTGCGGAGATCCGTAAATGACAGAAGAGCCTCTATTATCAGTGCCGCTGCCAAATGACTGAAAAGCAAACTCTGATGAGAGGTGTAGCTGCCATCAAATACAATTCATTAACGCTGCACTGCATTTTCCAGTACCCATGAGTGAGTTAAGGACCATTCATTATCTGTCTGTAATCATTTGATGTTTCTGAAATATCCAAGCTGCTTCAGTTTATTCTCCGACCCTGCTTTATGCAATGCTGTCTTTTTTTTTTTTTAATTTTATGTGGTGTGATTGCTCATTTTAAAAAACTGGAGGTGATACTTAATTCACGACTGGATATTGCCTTTGGATACCATATCTCTTTAAAAGCATCATTAAGCATTATGTAAGCATAGAAAAAGAGCTCTTTTTAGACTGGTTATATGCCTGTAGTGCTTTGGCTACAGGTATCATTTATTACCCCCTCTGTGGTTCATCCTTTCTCTCATCTCAGCTGCGGAAGTCCTTAGCTTTCTGTTAAGATGGGAATCATCCTTTTACCAAAGGAGTGTGTTTATCTGATTTTTTTCAAAGCTGCTGCACTTGGCAGCGAGCTCACTGCCAAGTGCGGATGTTTCTCTTAGAATCCCCATCTGCATTTTGAAGCACCATTCAAACTCTACACATATTTCTGGAATCCATTTGAACTCCAACATAGGCCAGATCCCAGCGCTTAGAACGCAACAGAACCAGTGTCACAATGCTGACTCATGTCAAGAGCGAATAAGATAATGTTTTATTATGGTTCACAGCCAAAAAGTAAAAAAAGGAGCCTGTAAGCCTTTGTGTACAACTTTGAAGCCTTTGTGGGGAGTGAAGGGGTAACAAGAAATAGCAAGAACTCACTCAGTGTTTTTTATGCCTCGTGCACTTCCTTCTGTTTGGAGTTGCAGAAATGTTACGTAAAAGTGAAGGAGAGGATAACATATGTAGGCCACAGCTTATGCATTATATTCAAGCTGAAGCAAATGGCTGTGAGAATGTGTGAGAGAGCAGCAGAGAATTATGTATATATGCTTACTTCCATGATTTGCTGCAAGAAACGTGTGAGTTTGAGTTAATGCGTGTGTGTGTGTGCAAAGCAGGCTTTGGCATTTGTGTAGGAGGTTACGTTCCTGTTCTTGTGTGCTCTTGCGTTCAACAGTAGCACAGCTAAGGAAAGCCATAGACTGTATGTAAAAGATGGGGGTAGTCACTGTGACATTATGGTAAAATGGTTAACTCTACATTGTGAAACTACCATCAGGGTGTTTTTAAGACAAAAGTTGTTAATGTTGGATTAGAATGGAGATTGCTAAATGGAAGTAAATTCTAACTGCAACTGTGCACACAGATGTGCTATCTGCCGGTCAGTAACAGATATAAAATACGATTTCAGTCACCAAAAATGAAGCATAAACTTTCCCTACAGCCTGAAGAAGGTGCAAACCCACATGTGTTGATGCATTTTTAATGCAACCAGCCCCCTGAAATAAAGCCTCTTTATTACTATAGCTTAAAGACCTCATAGAACCTTATTAGCACTTAGCACACTCAGACTCCGGGCTCACCTGTGGTTCCTGGATTCAGCAGATGCAACACTAGATGTAAAACTTTAGTTGTAGTTCGGGCTGGGAGTCACGCTGCAGTAGGGCTTGGCTGATGGAGGCTTCCTATGATGCACTAAGCACTTCTTCACTCAAATATTTTCACTTCCTCTGTGTTTACACACCACTACTGTATTTAATCATTAGCCATATTAAATTCTGGCTCTCTATCAATAGTTTGCCTTCCATCCTGCCTCTCTCTCGCTGCCTGACTCTGGTTCTGCTGAAGGTTTCTTTCTGTTAAAAACTGTGAGTTTGGGGGGTTTATTTGAACAATGTAGGGTCTTTACCTTACAATATAAAACATCTTGAGGCAACTGGGGCTATATAAATAACATTTCATTTAATTGTACTGAAAATTGATTTAAATTAAATTGAATTACTTGTTCAAACCATGGACCTTGGGTGTCTGGATTAAATTTTTTTATGTCACTTTTAGGTGTGAATCTTTCCATTTTCACTTTTCTTATTATACACTCTTACAAACTCTGGTGGCACTTTTTCATGGCACAGACCTCTTTGATAGGTTGCATCTCACAGCAGCCCATATTATTTTTTAAGATTTCCATTTAAATGCGCCAAAAAGTCAACAACTACCACAAACATGGTGAAAATGTGGAAGGTGACCCTGGGTAGGTAGCTAGCATCTGCCAATAAATACCAACTTTTTAAGCTTTTTTAAACTCCAGAAAGTTTAATTATAAATTAATAACAAATTTAAAACAGTCGCTTTGGTACAAATGATGTTATTAAGGGGACGCTGTAAAGACCAAAGTTGTTTCTGTACCTGTGGTAAACTTTGTGTTTTCATGGCTGAGTCTATGAGGGCTAGAACCAGCCTTAAGTGTTAAGTGAGGCATGTCTGTTATTTCAGATTAATAACATTATAACTTCTAGAATATGGGTTTATAAGAACTGTTAAGGACACATACTGAACTTTACTGTTCAATTACAGCCTGTTTTCTTACACTTTGGTGCACTGCTACAACAGAAATGTATAGCGAACAAAGCTCGGAATCTTCATAAATGATATTTTTGGAATTGAGAGCTGCTCTTTTTGGCTTCATGGGAGCGTAATTCACAGTGATGAATATTTTCACCCTAAAGACAGTGAGATACAGTGGCCACAGACGTCAGGATTAGCACGCATGGTAGGTGAATACGTACTGTAGAGGCCTCCACGTTCAGGCTGCCAGCAGCCAGAACAGTTTCAGGCTCTGACGCTGTCCGTGGTACCAGCGTGGCTCTGTGGGCTTAGCATTTGGCGCTGTCCATGGTATCAACGCGCCACTGTGGTGTCCGGCAGGCTGGTGGTATTTGTGGTGCTGAGGCTCCATTGCCTCGCTGTCCAAGGAGCTGTTCCAAACATGGTGGAGCTGTCCGTGGTGCTGAAAACTGAAAGGTCCTTCCAGAGAGATTGCAAGAATATTTAGCCATGTAATGACTAAACAATGACACCTAAGTTTAAGTTAAACACGTCCCGATTAATGTGCTGAATGATGGTTAAAAGCTATCTTTATGTAGAAAATCAGTGTTGTATTATAGCATGCAACACTAAAAAGCTGCAGGTCATAGTGTGCTTTATAGGCTGTCTCTCGGTCAATGTAATGACACTGGGTTCATTTATATCCAGTATTACACAACATCGCCCCACTTTTAAAAGTAATTGTATTAATGGGAGTACACCAGTGTGGCAAGGGAAAAAAGAGGAGGCGCTGTTACTGTGGTTCGATGAGCTGATAACGTCACCATGCTCAATGCTGGCAATAAAACCCATTTATTTCAAACTGAAGCTTGTGCTCTTCCAGAGACGCTCAGTGACGTTTTGAGAAGATTAAAAAAAAGGCTGTGCATGCACTGAGACCTCTAACTAATAATGACTGTATGATGTGTATGGAAAATCCCCACCACAGAGAAGCACATAAACAGCAGCACAAGCAGAAAAATATCGGACCCCCCCACCTCCTCCTCACACCCCCACATCATCACTTTGTTAGTATCGCCCCTGTGTGTCGATATATTGCTGAAATGGGACAAACTCATCTTGATGCCACTGCAAAATAGTTCAAATCCCACATTTGCTCCAGAACAAATATCGACCGTTCGCGGGACGATCTCACGTTTTCAGACGTGATTGATTGGTAAAAATCAAAGCGGGGTATGTGAAATCGATACACTGTAAGCTGTAATTCACGCCGATTTAACGACGCAAAGCGATTGCTTTGGCGTAACAGCAAAAGACGCGACCTCAAGTGGCTTATTGCCTGACGTAATATCGATTATGTGGATGTTTCACTTTAGGCAAAAACACTTGGAGTCGCACGGTGCGCACTTTTTTCCCTCTCCGTCTGCCTCTACCCCCTCCACTCTCCATCCTTCGGTTCCTTCTGTAAGCATGCTGTGGTCTTCATCCACTCTGTGCCCAAACCGAGAGCTTGAAGGACCCCCCCCTCCCCCCAATCTCTCTTTCTCTTTTATGACCAACCCTCTTTCATCCAGGCAGGCGTTTGTTCGCTGGATTTTATAAGAGCCTGTTTAATTACATATATATATTTTGAACACAGTCTATGAGCTACAGTGTCGGGGCTGCTGAGACTGAAGAGAATCGAGGAAACCTACCACAGGTGAAAGGAGCTTTTACGACGCTGCGGTACAGATGATTGAACACTTTAGCAGTAACTCAGCGCAATCTCCCCGCTTACCCTGACTGAAACGGGGCGGAAATTGAGGCTAAAACACTTTGGAACAACTAAAAAGGGACCAAGTTCTGTTTCCGAGCGAATCTAAAACCCGCTGCGTTGTTTCCCCAACTGGGCTTTCTGTGGAAGATGTGACCTTTTCTGTTGCGCCCCGTGGAGAAAATCACTGCTTTTTTTTCTTTTGTTATTAGTTCTTTTTTTTCTTTTTTTTTCTTTTGTTTTTTCCACCCCCTAATCAGTTACTCGAGCTTGACATGTCTTTTTGTGGGATTACACGCGGAGATATGATCACTGTGAGAGACCGAGCTGGATTGTGAATTTACTGTCAGCGCTTTTTTTTCTTCTTTATTTTTTCTTTATTTCTTCTTCCTTTTTTAAAACTTGTCTCCATAACGAAGGAAGTGCTCTAGCTGTTTTCTTCAATGGCTTCAGTGTCAAGGTTGGGAAGACGCAAAGATGCCAGTCGCTGGCCGAGAATGTCGTCAAGTTTCTGGGCTGTGCTGCTCCTGACAGCGCTGCTGCTTCTCTATTGCGGTAAGTCCCGCCGCTTTCCTCTCCTCTCTCTGTCTGTCACACGCTCTCTATTTTGACCACACACACACCCACAGTGGGTGACCGTGCCATGTGGGAAGGCTTTGACAACAAAATTATGTGAGTGGTATTGGCAATCGCTCTTAGCGTATTGATCTCAGTAGTGGTCGACGTGTCATATTCTTCTTTTTTCCCCCTATTGAAAAACACGCACGGGGATCACAGCTGCGCGTGCACATACTCACTTTAAAGCCCCTTCCTGCTCCTGTGTATGCAGACAGGCAGAATCAAGAGAAGCCCCTCACCACCACACACACAAATCCTCTCTCATAAAAAAACAGGGGAATGTGTCTCATTGTCTTGTGAAACTACTTTCTTTGGCTTGGAATAGGAGTGCGCCACAGGCCTAATTAAGTCTCATGTGACTCCCGTTAATTCTTATTCTATCTGTCTCTTCAACACACACACACGCACCCATCTATCTCTTAAAGCTTCTCAGACTGACTGAGTGAGGTCAGGCTGTCATGCATTTGTCATCTCTGAAACACAGAATCCAGAAGATATACATAACAAATTCACATAATGTTAAAAGGTACAAATCTTATTATTATTATTTTAAATTTATGAATAAACCCTTTTTAGTTGGACAAATAGTACTCCAGGCAGTAATTCAAGAGTGCCTGAGGATAACCTTATTAGGCAAATGTATGCAAGTATAAGCACACACACACACACACACGCAATTTGCTCCTCTCTCTCTCTCTTTTGGGCTACTTCTCTGGCCATGGGTGTCTTTTCATTTCTTGTTCCCTGGCACCCTCACACCTTCTCTCCGTCTTGCTTTCCTTCTCTCGCTCAAACCGCCTCTGACTCACTTATGAGGAGAAATCCAGCTGGCACACAGAGCTTCAGTCTGCTATGTGTGAACAAAAAAAAGGAGGCTATGTGCAATAGCCATGATAAGCTCATGGAAAAAAAGAGGAAAGGGAAAAGTTATTTCATTAGCAGCTGAGCTAATGGTTAATGTAATCACCCTGTCCTCCAGTGCATTAGCTATGCTGGTGCTGTAACAGATTCGTACTGTGATGCTGAGTTTTCCTTACAGCGATGTGAACCGACCTCAGCTCGTTCATTTCCTTTTTACCTTTTTTCCCTTCTCTACAAAGGACACAAGATTGAGTTTGCTTTGTAATCACACAGACCTCAGGTTAATCAATGACAGGCTTAGTTTATAAGAGCCAAAGCTTCTGGAGGGGGGGCTTTTTATTCTTTTATGGTGCCTTCGGCCATGTGCCATTGATCTTCCGTTTGTGTCCAATCACGATGCTTGGATGTTTGTTTCAGTCAGCAGTCTTGCTTTTTCCTTTTGCAAGGACCTCGACCTTTTTACCCAGTAACACCGCGAGCCTTCAGAGACTTAATAATCTGAGTGATAATCATTCCTGGATTTCCTCTTTTATGACCTCTTTACTCCACGCTGCTCAAACTGTGTTATTTGGTACCTTTTGTCCAACAGTCCGCCTTATGGGTATATTTCATTTTTGTTACCACCATTATTGGTCTATTAAACTCTAGTGCCGGGGCCGACTTTGTGTAATTTCCTCCCTTCTCGCTCCTCGTTTCATTTTTTTTCGTTGTTAATTTCCAAACATTTGAACTTGCAGCTCTGTAGATCGCACAACTCCCTTTCACTGTTAGCTTTGCCTTTCTTCTTGTGGGTTTCCTTTTACTCTGACCATCCTCAACAGTGCAGTATTTCTGTTTTATACTTTTTGTATTTTTTTCTTACCCTCTACTTTGTTCATGTGTCCGACGATGTCCCGGTCACACTGGGTTTGTTTGAGGGTTTTTTTCTTTCTTTTTTACATTTTTGTCCATCTTTGTCGCTGTTTTGTGCTTAACTTTCTTCTGCTTGAAATTTTTATGTTGTTTTCCCCCCACTCTTTGTAGCACTTGTTCTTTTATTCATTTCCTCTTTTTAACCAGATCTTTCAAACCAGTGGATCTCTGGGCTGAGCTGACCAATGCATGTCCTCTATGCTATTCTGTCTGAAGTCTCTGCTTTCTCAGCAGACTCTTCTCTTCTCTTCTCTTCTCTTCTCTTCTCTTCTCTTCTCTTCTCTTCTCTTCTGATTGTTGTTTATTTTACAACCCAAGCATTCATTATCATATTGACTGCATCTCAAGACAATAATGATATTTGTGAGAGTGATCAATTCATTCTCACTACAAGATCAATATACATTAATGTAAGACAGGTGACATGTTTTTAGAAGCTGGAGCTCGTAAACCTTTGACAATTTTGTGTGAAAAATGACAGTTTTCAAGCAATTTACTGATTAATATTCTACTATTGATTGATTGTCTAATTATTATTATTTTTAAATGGCAGCTTTACTACAGCCTTCTACTCAAAATTAAGAAAGAAACCAATAAAACATGATTAACCATTGGTTTGTGTATATAAATGATAATAATCACATACACACATGGTAGTTATTCATATATATTCTTACAAAAATTGTCCACAGTTTGTAAAGGATTTCAAGTTTTACTAGAAATTGATGTCCATGTTACTCACATGCATACAGAATCAGCATAACTGAAAAATGAAGCCAATGCTGAAGTTTCTAGAGTCTGCAGTTTTTCTAATGGCCTGCAGGGGGCATCTCCTCTGGTTGCAAAAGATGCCAAGTTGTATAGAAGTTTATCAGAAAATGTTACTTTGGCTTTCTTCATTTATGACCTCAGTGAATCCTTTCCAGATGAGATTATGGGATCAGTTCATAATCTGAGCCCATAAATTGGTAGGTGGACCTACCAATTTCCAAAGTCTGATTATTTAATGCCTTGAGAGGAGCGTTTCCACCCTCACCATCTTTGTTGCAGAAAAATCAACCAACTCTCATCTTTCAGATGTGACGAGTAAGGGCAGGTCTGACTGTGAAACCGCTCACTGGCTATCGACCAAAGAGTGTGCAGTTTCATACTGCAGATAATACTTCAGTTTGAAACATAGCATGACCAAGATTTACAGAACAGATCTAACTTTTCATTCAGTATGATCCAAAATGAGTGACTGAACCAAAAACTCATCAGGAAAGTGTTTACAGAGATCAAGTTTAAAGGATGTTTTCCATGGACCTGTATAGAACTAGAAGTGTTTTTGCTATCAAAGACTAAAGTTCAGCACTGGTTTCATATCTATCTATCTATCTATCTATCTATCTATCTATCTATCTATCTATCTATCTATCTATCTATCTATCTATCTATCTATCTATCTATCTA